CACAGGTAGGGTAACCCTACAACCCGGGACAACTCAAAACGCGGTTTCAAAGGGTCTGGAAACAATAGAAAGTTAACCCGGGTAGGCGGGTTAATCTGGAGTGTTTGCGGGTTAACCTGGAGTGTTCGCAAGGGAAAAAGTTAACCCGCCTGCCAGGGTAACCCTAGCACGCAGATAGGTTAACCCGCCTACCCGGGTAACCCTAGCTGTCTTGTAAACACGACGAAGAAAAAAAGAGGAGATGTGTGAGTGCTAGGGTAACCCGCTTGCTAGCCATAAGGGTAACCCTCTCTCCTTGTAAATAGGCCCTAAGCCTGAATTAAAGTCGGGGGAACGGCTTACACAAGACGAGTCCCAGAAAATTTTTGAAAGACCAACCAATCTCCGTATGCTTAATAATCCGCAAGATTTTGATTAATTTTCATTGACAATATATTGATACCTGAGAAGAGGCGTGCTCTCGTGCCCAGGGTACTTTTATTTTCTAGAGAACCGAAGAAAGGGAACTGGGATCTAAATTATACCACATAAAACTTCGCTATCAGCGCTCCATAAGTGTTCTGGAGACCCACAGGACTCTGTTGATTAATCACTGAAAACCTCCAAATTTTCTTTCTCCGCGTCACAGAAGAGAATCCGAAAGGTAATTTTCAGTTGTTTCTCCAACAAGTCAATAAAAGCAATAATTAACAGCCACAAAAAGCTTTTCCTGTACTCACACTGATTGCAAAAGCATTACCGGCCTTTTGTCTTAGCTCGGTTAACACGTTTAAAGTTCTAGAGTCAGTGCTAACAAATTATTAATTAGAGTAGCGATTTCTCAAATTCCTCAGGTTGCAAGATTCAACGTCCTCTGTAGTTTTACGATTTTTCGGTCCTTAAAGCTGAAATGTTCATTGTTTCTTCCCGGCGATGGAAAAGTGACCTTCCACTGTTAGAAGTAAATAGAGAGGGACGAGTTACACTGTGCATTCTCATTTAGGATTTTAGGATTTAGGACCTCTTCATATGGGCCCGGTCAACCGGGCTGGCTCTGTTTCCGAGATCTCGCCTCGCTTCTCTTTCCTTCGTAAAAATTTCGATGTGTTCATATGAGAAGCCAGGCTGGCCCGGTTACCGAGATCTCGGTAACCAGGATGAAAATTTTCCCATATAAACACTCCAGCCCGGGCAACCGGGACGCAACTTTTTACACGAAATAGCTTCGCTTTCGCAGCATAGCGGCCAAATTGGCACAATTTTTGCCTTGTATGTATTTCCACTTTAGGAGTAGGCGAATTAGCTTTATTAGTAAAGTTACAAGAGTCCACAAAGCTGCGACAGCCGCGAACGATACAAGTTTATGTTCCACCATTTTGGTTGTGTTTCTTGAAGTTTATCCCGGCAGACCGGACTGAAATTTCCCATATGAACAAAAAACAAAATTCGCCACGGTAACCGAGCCAGCGCGGTTACCGGACTCATATGAAGAGGTCTTATAAGATGGAAATTGTGTAGATATACCGGCTAAAATATTTCGTTTTGGCAGTTCTTTTCATAGTTGAATATATTTTCCTTCTTCCATATTTTAAATCTGCTATGGAATCCTAAACAGTGTATCGTTTGAAGCCATGATTGCCTTGAAAAGCTAGGTCGCAACTATTGCGACCTTCAGCGCAAAAGCCTCTAGACAAAACCTAAGTTTTAGTGGACGTCGATTATCTCCGCCTCTTTACCGACTATATGCAAAATTTACAGAATAAAGTCTTAAACCTTGCAGCGGTCCACTCGCAAAAATTATCATTTTACCTTCAGTATGCACGGCTAGCTCAATTTATAACTGAAGACGGGCGGGTTTCTCAACGGCCATTCGCACGCACGAATGACCCCGAGATCAAGCAAATCAACACGCGCACGAATTATTACTGCACGTATTTGTCTTGGGGCTACGGACCGAAGAAGACTTAAAAAAGGCTAAATTTTGGCGGAGAAATGGCGGTTTTACGTTTTCGCCGAAAGTAAAAGTTTACGTCTTGATTGACAGCCCTATGGCGCGTATGCAATCAACCGAGACGATTTTCGCGGGAATTACCTGTATAGATGTCACGAATTGGCTACTCAGTTGATCAGCATTGTTGTTCTGACTACCAAGCACTTTTAGTGTAATTTAGGTGTAATTCTATTAAGTTATAAGTAAACATAGACCACGTTAAAAACATGGACCAGTTCGAAAAAGTGAAAACAGCAAAGAACGAATGAAAATACATCAATGAGTAAAGACGCGAAAGTTCGCCACGCGGATGAAGCTATAGCCACCGTATA